TACATTTTAATTTTGTATTTTGTGTTAATTTAAAATAAATCAAACTCCCAAAAACGTATACAGCTTCTGTGTGCTTTTATTAACATTGGAAAGCTTTAGAGAGCTCTCTCCGGAAAGACTGAGCGGCTCTGATAACCTCTCAGTGAGGTAAAGGCACATCTTTATGTGATCATTATAGTTATAAAAAAATAAGAGAATAGGTGAAAAACTGGTATAAAATACGATATGACAGTAAAATTATTAATAAACAAGAATACCGTTTGAAAGGGGAGTGATTTGTAAAATATCCATAAAGAAAAATAAATCTGCTTACAGTTCTGTTTCATATGGGTGTTGAGAGATGTATCCATAGATCTCTTAATGTTGCACCAGATTGATGCTTTTAACTTCAATATTTAAAAACACATCTTCCCAGGGGAGCATAGGGGACCCCCCTATAGGAGATTAGGTCCCCCCCCACTTAAATCATGTACACATGGATATGGAACTAACTACATTTGCACATCTTGTGTCTATATCTTTCTGTTTTGGTGGTCATGCCACAACCGTGCACATGCATGCATGCGCGAGTCATGGTAAGGTATCTGGATTAAGAGGTTGCTTTTTCTTTGCACAGCATGAAAAAAATGCGAAAAGAATGGGCTGTGATTTTAGTATTTTTAAGCAGATGTCAATAATTTGTACAGCCCTCGGAGGATGTTGAAAAAATTGAAATGGCCCTTGAGAGGAAAAAGGTTCCCCACCCCTGGTCTAACTATTTGTATTTTGATGCTGATTATGACGTAGGCGCAGGTTTAAACTTTGTCCCAAAAAAAAACACATTTGAAAATCCTCAGGCATCATATATATCCCTTTAAATTAAATCAATGTGCAAATAAAACATGTTTTATACTCATAATGGGATATTTCCAGCCCATTTCAATGATTTTGTTTCTTTAGGCCATAGGGTAGTTGAAGTGAATATAGTCTTACCACCACCACACTCCGGGAGGCGTCCAGCACGTGGACCACAGGGGAAGTGTATCGAGGGGCGATCTTCACTGAAGTGTGTGTCCTATCAAACACAAAACACCCACATATGACCATGACAGTATTGCAAACGGAGGAACTTCCTTATATTACTTTTTACGTATTATGTATTAACTTTCAATAAATGTATACATTGTATTTAGTAGAGATCATAGCGTTTTATAACACTCTTATGATGGTGTACTGTAGGCAGCTGCTTCATCTGCTTCAAATCCATTTGACTTTTTAACAAAATTATTATTGTTTGAATATTTGTTAAATGCTTTAAATTCAAATTACCTAATTCTTAATTTTTTGTGAATTCAATTAGATGTAAAACATCTCAATTTAGTTCATTAATAAGTCAATAAATATGCGCTGAGAGGCAGGACATGACACACATGTCTATATATGGCAGGACAATGAGACACAGATTAGATTAGATGGTAAAGTATTTTGACCGCAATCATTTTGTTATTTGAGATTATACCGAGAACTCCTTTGGTTACTTTTGAATGAAGGAAGATTATGTTGATCTTTTGTGTTAATATGCCGCGGGGATAACATAATAAATATTGTTTTGTGTGTTACTTTGATGTGGTGGCTCCTCCAATCAGCAGGGGTGTGGTCATCCCCAGTCTCTCCATCTCTTTGGCCACATAGATCATCTCCTCCAGGGAGGGGGTGATGAGCCCGGACAGACCGATGATATCTGCAGAACAAAGTCAACAGACCCCACATGACTGCTGCTGCTGTTAGACAACATGATGTCTGGTTCATGACATCATCTGAGGTTCACTGTATCTACTGAAGTATTTCAGTTGTGTGAACACAAAAAAAAAGGAATTTTCTCTGATTTACTTGCAATTAATTAAATAAAAGTATTCTCATATAACTGTATAATGATGATGCTTTTTTAGGTCTGATTTTCATTTGGAGTTCAGATCACTCAGGGCTAGGTAATGCCAACATTGAAGCTGCTCCTTAAAACACCTGAAATAACTCGATCTAGTCATAAATAATGATGATGTTGTATGGCCTTTCGCATTGCCTTAAATAAGAGACATTTCCTAAAGTATGATATTAATTGAATCAACTAATTATCTGGATTCATTCATTGTTCAACATTTCAAATTCAATGTCAACAACATGTCAGGTGTTCTGAATTGACCAATCAGAATCGAGTATTCAACTAAGCCATGTAATAAGTTATTTTAATGTATCTACGGCATCTAACATTGATGATATGTAATGTGAACTGTCCTCACCTGCTTTCTGTTTGACGGCCTCTCTGAGGATCTTATCACAGGGGACCATCACACCCATGTCGATCACTCTAAAAGAGAAGAAACATGAAAAATACTCACAAGCTTTACTCTTAGTTTCTTTCTTTGTTCTTCTGTTTGTAGATTTTAATAGTTAATTGTACATTTGAAAAATGTCAATGTGTCGGAGGGTGGTGCACCAGGACACCAAAGTGAGAAAGCTACTAGTGCTTCATTACAGTGTCAGAGTTGAACTGCAGTTACTGTGGGTCTAGCACCGGGGGCTCTGCTGTTTAACCAGATACAGTAACAGCACTGTTAATCATCACAGCATTTTTAAATCTGCTTCTGAATGATTGTTTTGAATGCCAAAGACAAATATAGTAACTGTTTTGTCAAACAAAAAACAATGCTCAGAGGAGATTTGAAGTTGGAACTCTAATCTGAGTTTTACCTGAAGTTGTTGCAACCCAGCACCACTCCCACAATATTCTTTCCAATATCATGGACGTCTCCCTTCACTGTGGCCAGAACTATGGTGCCCTGATAGGGGTCCTGCAGAGGAGGAGAGGAAATGAAGCGTCAGGGAACACGTGAAATCTGTTAGTTGTAAAGCTTTTACAATATACATGTAATGTATCTGAGAATTTTATCCAAAGCGACTAATATACCCTTCAATACAGTAGACATGCCTACGGGAGCAATTTGGGGTTGAGTCTCTAGCTCAAGGACACCTCCATATTGCATCAATTATGGATGATTCAAATATTAAATTACAAATCAAATGAAAAGCAATATTGGATTGACTTATTATTTGGACAGATACAGGATGAAAGGATTTTGATCAAGGGAACACAACATGATCTGGGAGTCCCTGATTGAACTTTAAAATGGTTAGCATTTTTAGACACATGCTTTTACTGTTCTTTAGGCATTACTTGTAGGTCTGAAGAGAAAATCTTTTTGATAAGATCTTGGACAAAATAAGAGTTGCAGTACTCACCACGTCCTCCGTAGAGCCGGACAGAGCCTTCATCTCCTCCCTCTCCTTCTCCATGAAGGGAATCAGATGGCCCACCGCCCTCTTCATCACCCGGGCAGACTTGATCACCTGAAACACATCACGATCGGAAGTTAAGCAAACTGATCAAATACAATTGTGAACATAAAATACATGTGTCTTGTAAATTCACGTTCTGTCTAAAATCAGAACCATCTTGCTCTGGGGCTATAGTGCTAACCACTGCCCCCCCACCCCTGTGTTTGAAACAATAAATGTATAATCAGCACTCCTTCATGCCGTTGCCATGGATGGAATTCAAATGCAATGCAAATGTTAAACAAACTATTTGAAATACATTACAGTCCCAAATTGATGGATTATAATCCTGATATCTGTAAGCAGTGACAATCAGCATTACTCAATAGAAGATAAAAACAAGTACAAACTTTGCCAACCATCAACAAGAAGACTATCACAGAATAAGAGTTCCTCCTACCTGTGGAAGGAACATCTTCCCAGCTCCGAACAGATCCCCCACCACCTTCATGCCGTTCATCAGGGGCCCCTCGATGATGTGCAGGGGCCGGGTGTAGCGGCCCACCTGAGCCCGACACTCCTCCACATCCTCAACCACATGCTTGTCTATTCCCTGACAGCAGCAACCCACCATGGAGCATTATGGAAGAAATGAAAAGAAATAGCCAACCTTAATTGTCAATAGGGGAAATCATGTTTGGTTTTGATATTTCTTAAATAAAATATAATGTTTCCTTGTTAATCTTTAAGTTAAAAAGTAAACACAAGGTGAAACAAGGGCTGGAAAGTTAATTCTATGAAAATCTCTTCACATTCTTTCTTCTCAGCATTCTTCTTAGCATTTTTGAGCTGTGCACATTGTAAAACTTCATTGTTTGTTATGTTAATAAATAAAGTGAAATGTCTTTTTGTTATAGAATAACTTAAGAATAGAATAAATAAAATGTGTCAACAACAAGCCAATTTAGAAAATCCAAATGATTAATCTTCTAGGTTCTAACACTAAATAAATCCAAATACAGCGTCAACCGACATGTAGGTCTAATCATTTTAAATGTTCATAGTATTAATGATCACACATTGCATAGTTAGGGGCCCACAATATTAGTGATAAATGATCTGAATCAGAGTATAGAGAACATCTACAATCACCTCAATCCTTCCTTTGTCCACACAGGTCAATTACAGATGATATTTAACTGGCCACTTAACTTTACTGTAAAAAACGTACCCATGTCTGAGTGCACTTAAAACATTTGTTAGAGAATATTTAGAGACATGGATGACGTGAGTCTGATCAGCGTAGGTGAAGGAAAACTTTTGAAATGCAAGTATGTGTTAAACAATTAGTGTTACCTTGATGAGAGCGTACTCCAGCCTCTCCTCCACACTTCCTTCCCTCCATTCATCCGTCTGAACCACCTTCTTCGCTCCTTTCACATTGTTCTGTGAGCAATAGAAGTAAAGGCGACAACTGTTAACCAAATTAACAACAAACTGGTGTATTACCTGTTTGCATGTGTTTATGCATGTGTGTATACCTGAGCGTAGGTCAGCAGTTTCTCAGTAGCCTCAGTGTCTCTGTTCCAGATGAGGTTCTCACACAGTAACAGCAACTCTTTATCTATGTCATCATACACCGGCAGGTTCCCAGCATTCACTATGCCCATGTCCATCCCATCCTGAGACAGGACAGAGTACACACCAGGCTTGGAATTTCGTCATTTTAGGGGCACGGCCATTTGGCCTTTGGTGTCACTACATTTTTTCAGGGCGCAAAGGCCACATGCCAGGGCACAAAAGGCCATTGAGGGAAACATTTGGATTTGGAGCTTACAAATAAATAACTTCACTTTTTGATAAGAAAAACACATGAATGACATGGAAAACAAATCACTTTTTTAATATCAATAAATGTCA